CCCACTTTTACACAGTAATATATTTGAAAGACAACTTTAAATACAATATTCGCTTGATCACATCATATACACAAATACCTTATTTTTATACGCTTAGACGGAGTTAGTGTATTCCGGAGTTAGAGCATGGAATCGTGCTTGAGAAGTAAGCGCCTGCTAAGCGTACTTAGTGTTTCCGAAGAATGCAGTGTTCTTGTCACGAAGTCCGTACTAGCACACTAATACATTCATAACGGCAGGTTCGCTCTTCGTGACTGGCAATTTCATGCTCTTGTATTGGTGCAAATAAGTTCACAAATTATTCAAATCCATATAGATGTATGACAAGCATATATTTTTCTGCTCTGACTGGCAGCAGCGCTGAGTGAAACTTTATTTAAAATATTTATATTGTATATGCTTGAAATATTTAGCCAACCAGCGGATGCAGTTTGATTTTCGAGTGGATTTAAATCAATAACTCAGAAATCGTGGCTGAAACAAGAGCTTTGCATAAGCTAAACACTGTTTCGGATTATGAATACCACATATTACTGTGTACTTTTGTCTGGCACACAATTTCCATCGAACACGATTCAAATGGATTAAAATCAAAAGTCAACGTTGTATCTCACCTTTTGCTCCCATTTCTAGATATTGCTTCAGGGGAAGAGCAAAAGGGGAGATGTAACGTTGCACTTTTATTCTCATTCACTCATATGTCGTGTGTATTTGGAAGTTTTTTTCGGTGTAAGTTCCGGTTTAGCTCAATGCTATTAAATTTTTTTCTTCGTGCTGTCCAAATGTTTCACTCGAAATATTTGTCTGTCATGAACTGTGCACCGATTTTGATGGTACTTTTGGTCCATTGCATTTTGCCATGATGAAGCTTACTTAATACATTTCGTTAATATATAATCTTATTCGACTTTGGTACTGTACATTTGTAAATTTTCTAAATCAATATAATGCAAAAGTAAAGCATTTTTTTACCTACTTGTGCAATGAAAAACAATATCATTTCAATTAAATTATTATTTCTCGGATTATTTTCTTTCTCTCTTCTTTTCTCCGGTTTTATTGCATTCAATTTCAGTTTTTCGCATTCCATTTCGGTAGTGAAAGATTCATTATACCGCATATTATATTATATGAAATGAGAAATGTTTATGTAATAAAGAATTGGAATGAAGTCAATAAATTTTGGGTGCTGAGCAAAAATGAATGAATGAAAATGTCAAAAAAATCATCATTCTCCCTCTTCTTACACCCTGAGTCATATAATTCGGGTTGGTATTGTATGAGTGCCAGTTTTATGATTACTTTCAGCCGCAACCATCTATATCTGGTGAGCTATTTTTCGAGAATGATTTTGTATTTGCAAACACACACACACACACACACACACAGTCATTTCCTCAACTTCTTGCAATTCCATCAAACTCATGGAAAACGAATCACCTCGAAATCTCTCTATTTTTTCTCTTCTGCTCATTTTCGTCCAATAGTTGTTCTTTTTTCGATTAATGTTGTTTGTGTGTTGTGCACCATTCTCTATTTGGATGCTGTACATTATTACATTGCTAAAGAGAAATATAATATAAAGATTTCATCGTTCAATTCCGTTTTCATTTCATATTTATTGTAGCAATCGTTAGTATGTAGAATAGCCATTCTTGTATGCTCAATGGGCGAAAGAAAAAAAAGAGCGGGAAAACAGGATACCATACACCGAACTCAACTTCTATAAACCATCATACACATACAACAGACAAACACAAATGTGCACTGCTCTTGCTCATATTAACGTTTTGTGGTGTGCTTTTACTTATTTTCGCAAACAAAATTGCAAACAAATACACTTCATAATACTCGTTTGTGCGTAAATGGAATGGCTAAATTGTACATAAGAGTAAGTGGCAACGCAGAGGACAAACGAGTAGCAAGAAGAAGAGAAAAAAAAATAACCAACAACCAGAAACACACTCATTGTGCCAACCAAAATCGAAAAGAAAATACTAAACATACACATACTCACGTCGACTCTATCTCAATCTATATTCTATTTGGTCATAAAAAAGCGGAACGGAATGAAATACGAAAGCTCATTTGTATCTTCTAACTTGATTGCGCGCACGATTTCTCATCATATGTGATATGCTCACGGTAAACGATGTTATGCTATAAACTCTTTCTTTTGCTCGTGCTCGTCAGTTTGTAAGCGACTAAAGGGCCGTGTGTTTTGTACACACCATATCAGTGTTTTGTGTGTGCGGAAATTGTCAAGGTTCGCGCGCTCGCTCTCTTTCACTATTCATCTCTATCTCAATTCCATTCCAAAGACATTCACAACGAATCGGCAACCGAGAAGCAAATCAGAAGACAGACAGTCGGAATAGAGACAAACATGTACATGAGAATCAACGATTTTTTTTTTTCATATGAAAACGAAATGTGTGTAGATTTTTATTTGGTTTTATTTATTCATGTGTTTACGACCATGCACAAAGCTACTATACATCAATTGTAACTGCAATCCAGTCCAACTGTACGAGATGTACGGTGTTATGTTTGCCCGCACTTCTATCTGTGCGTCGTACGACGCCTCTCGGCACCATTCGTTCACTCTTTAACTCTCTTTCTCTCTCGCACTCAAATTTCATTCAGTCTCTGTGTATTCAATTCAAATTCATTTCAAAAGAGACAACACAAGAATGCCAGCAAGCAAACTAAAAAAGGGAAAAGAATTAGGCACGTTTGCCAAAATAGAAACTGAATACACACCTATAATATACACACATTCAATTCACTGGGAACTCGCTCGACACTTTGACGCACATACACATTACACACTCTCTATTACATTTCTTTATGCCGCGCGCTTGCATTCACGTCTCGAATTGGCATCGCGCTTTGAAGAAATGGAAATGTCATAATGGACTCGCTAGAGAGAAAAAAAAGCAGCGAGCATGCGAAAGGCACACATCCGTATTTTTCTATTTTAATTTTAGATCGAATTTTTGGCTTTTGGCATAGGGTTCAAGCACTATATACACAGCTCATGACACCTATTTGAAAATTTATCATCGCACTGGTGGTCTGTAACTTTTGACTCGATCTCGAACTTGCAAAGAACAACAGAAACAACATTTGCAATGAGATGCACGACAAGAGGTGAATGAGAAATCAAAGAAATAGATTGAAATTTCAATAAATTTATCTCAAGCACCGTCAGTGCTGATGATGGTGTGTCGTTGAAACAAACAACAACACTACACATATATGTATTTAATTTTAGAGATGGTACTGCTCTTCAGTTGAGCGATAAAAAGGAACAACAACACACCGAGAGTGTAAGTCTCACATTTTAAGAGAAGATGAATCTGACTCTGAATATTCAGCTGAGCTGTTTCAAAATTGTCTGACGCATACCACAACAACATTAACATTGCACGTAACATATGGCATCATGATTTTCAATATAAAAGTTACAATTTTAATGTACTGGACTGAATATAGTTGAGAAACAGTACGGTGTACCTTAACTAATCTGGAAAAGCTGTAAAAATTAAAATATTTGCTCCACTCTGGGACCCAGAGTCTGGGTGATACACAAGTAAATGTCACAGAATTATATTTTTTCTCTAACTATGTACCGTATGAATAGACTTTGACTCGAAAATATTCTATAGTACGCGGTCTGCTTGGGAAATTTTAGCGAAGGAACGTTAATTATTTTATCCTGTTCACAATTGTGTCTGCCCTACTAGTTAGTATAAACGTAAAAACAAAAAACTATTTTATATGTTTTTCGTAGATTTTTTCGAAGTAAATTTCCAACAATTTTTTCAAAATAATAAACAGAAAATGAATGACCTTACAGAAGAAGCATACATGACCTATTCAATATCTTCGAAATAATTGTGTGTCAGTGAGGCTGTGTGTCATTGAATTTACATATAAAAATCAGCGTACTTTCAAAACGCGAAGTGGGACCGTTGCATTTTCTTGTAAACAAGGATGTTGTTGCTTATGGGATAGCATGCACGATACAATGTCATATTACAGCAGAATAACGGCGACGAACCAAATATGAAACTGGTGCAAATTTAAACGGAATGCGGAACAGTATGAGATGATGTGCGAGCGAGAGTTCGTTTGTATTTTTACAAAAAAAAAACATAATAAAAATCCAGATCTTACAGTAGCAGAAGGAAAACCAAATAAAATATGCACGACAGAGAAAAACAAACAGAAAATAACAGAACAAAAAAAATCAAACTTAAACCGACTGGAAACAATAATGATACTTGATGCGCGGTCGTGTTATGCTATATCTCTTTATGTGTGCCTCGTACATTCAACCGTGAACGCATCACAAATTTTTGTCTATTGAGCGAGAGCATGGAAACATTGCTTGACTTGGGAACGCAATTGATGCGTGCATACGGTCGTTAGTGTATCCCGAAATTGATACGGTCTGGAAATAAGGAGCCATATAAGACAATGTTGCATTGTGTGCGTGAATGCCGTTGCCGCTGCCGTCGCTGTCGTTTTATAAAATGCGACAAAGGAGAGCTTGAGTATCCATTCATAGTCCTCACATACTTCACGGTGTATTGCCGTGCCATACAGTTTTTCCCCTCAAAAAAATATTTCTCTTCTTGTTGAACGATTAGGCGCTGTTAAAGCAGAGTATAATATCAGCAGCAGCAGCAGCAGCAATAGCAGCAACAGCAGTGGCAACAGCAATACACAGCATTTTCTCCATTGCAGTCGGATTGAATGTAATAGTGGGAAGGAGATCGTAAATGGTACCGTACTCGGTAATAAGTCGCATCGTATATTTCCGTCACTGAATGCTGGTTCGTCCACCGCAACATACCAAACCATGTCGAATGAACAGAGAGATTTGTATGAAAAGCAGCAGCAGCAGCACGATATTTTGTATGCCAAGTTAAAGGCAAACGGTACAACTGATTGTGCTACAGTACGTTTTGAAACTGGCAGCAGTACGAACGTTTTTTTGCCGTTTTTCCTTCCGAAGAGTCAATGAGTAGCGCGGCTACTGTGTGTATGTGCATTTCTAGAAGCAAACATCAATTGATTACGCTCTTCATAACATTTTTTTTTATTGTGAATTCAAAGCCGGAAAGTTAAAAGAAAAACGAGAAAAAATCAAGTGAAGGCACATAAAGTGAAAATTGCACTAAAAATCCAACCAGTGCCAAGAATACCAAAGAGAAAAAAATCAAAGAATTAAAGAAGAAAAACGAACGAAAGTGGAAAAGACGAAGCGAACAAATAAAAAATTTATCGTCGAAAAATATACATTAGCTTCAGCGTGAGCTCTTCATTCAATAAATTGAATTACCAATTGAAAGTTGTACTCAGTTCAATCGGACCTATTGTGGTCGATTTTACAACGGATTTCATGGTGACTGGAGCTCTTGTTTTGGTCATCAAATGAATGAAGAGAAAATACAAAATTAAGTGAAAGGTGGAAATAATCAAAACTTTTGTAATTTTTTCGTTGTCGATTTCGTTTTTTTTTTATCGTTCGCCCTCCACCCTTGCATCTCTCATTCGTCATCGTGTGATGGCATAAACACGGCCATACAGTGTGGAAAATGGACTGAAAATTTAATTTCACTTTTTGTGTGTGTGCAAGGATGTCGGTCTGTTATTGTGGTTCGCAGTGAAGTCTTGTGCTTTTCATTCTCGCCAACCCAAGAGAACTAAGTCAACGTCGAACAATCGAAGTGACAACATGTATCCATGGGAATAAATAAATGGCTGTTTTTAGTAAGAGACAGAGAAACCGTGTTACACATTTTTGTCAATGTGTTTGAGTTCCATATCTCACGTTCTAGCGGACTCGAAGCGATGCACACCAATTGAATTTGAAAAAGAAAAAAAAAACAATTTCGCGAGCACACAACATACATTCGAACAATTGTTGTTGACTAGGTGCATTTTTGTATGTGTATGTATACACTTTTGTGAATTTGTTATGTGAAAACTAAAGCCATTGCGAGTTTGGGTTTTTTTTTTTGAAACTGCAAATTTGTGTGAACGGGAAATTTTATGGTATTTCAACGACAAATTCCCATTTCGGTTTACCAAAATCGAAACAAAACATCAACGTAGTAAACTTAAAACAAACACATCTAATCACAATTGAACAAACAGATAAAAACTATTGATTGAAATGTCAGTTGCAAATGAATGTATGAACATTTAGTTTCTGAACAAAGAAAAAAAAAAATCGGACCAAAAGTTCGCGATTATTTTTATTTATATAAAAAAAATCAAAACAAAAAAGTCCGTTTTAATTGAACGGGGAATTGAATTTAAAAATAACGCTGAAAGAAAACGAAAAAACATCAACAGTTGAGAAAATAAAAATTACTTAGTTTAAATTAAGTGTCGCCACATCGAAGTCTCTCATCATTATTGTCGTGGTTGTCGTGGTTGTCATCGACGTCAATATATTCATGGATCGTGAAATTTATTTGGAAAATATACTCTCACACAACAAAACAGAGATCGCAAAGAAACTTTTTAACAAACAAACAAATTAAGTACAACGAGGCACATGAATAAAGTTAAAAAAAATACAGAATCAAGCATCTATCGTTCAACGTACCACGGTGTGTTCATCGGCAACATAATTCGATAGAGACAACGGCTACATTATTTGTTAATGTATATATGCGTTGTTTTAACTCGATTGTGTTATTGTTTATTGCCGTCATTTTTATCATAAACATTGTGTGTACTCAGAGTTGGAATCGGTTAAGAAAATAAACCGATGACAGAATCAGAAAGAGAAAGATAGATTCTCACGGCAAAAACTCCACGGCAACAAATAAAAAAAAACATTTGCGCATAAAACGATCACCGAATTAGTGGCATGTTCATCACGCTGCAAAGAGAATATTTCGTCTCTAAGAGAGGGAATGAACGAACGAAGCGCAGCTTGTTACTTTGGCTATTAAATTAAAGCAAAAATCCATTAAACTTCCTGTTGTGTGTATGTGCAAAGTGCCATATATTGAATTGAATGTACTGAATTATAGTGAAGAATTTGTGCTCCTCACTCTAGCCGCACGATTTCCAGTCATGTCCCTTTTGCACATTCAATTTACCAAATTGAACGAATAAACTTCAGAGCGAAAAAAAGTTGCATCAGAGCAGAATAAAAAGAAGGAGTCAATAAGCAAAAGAGAGATAACGAGAGAGAGAGAAAACGAAAGAAGAGAATAAAAAACAAACAAAACAAAAACAACTACAACGAAAGTAGTAGTAAGCACACCACCAGCAAGTACTGTAAAACAAGTCAAGAGCGTGAGCATAAAAAATGCATTCACAGCATATTTGAAAGACATCTATACACATAAAGACGGTCAAAAGAAGTATCATAATGTGGCTTTTTTTTGTTTGCAAGTTATTTAAAAAAGTGTGTACCTAATTCATTTGCTCGTTATTGTTTCCTTCGTGCGAGATAAAGTGTGCGTGGGTTGAGAGCCACTTCTCTCTTGATTTTCGCTGGTGGTGCACAAGATATAACAGCCGTGTGTTGCAATTTGGGGTGCCTGTATATACAAATTTATAGAGATAGATATTGTATGTGGGTGAAAAATTGTGAATTGTTGCCAGTGTGTGCACTTTAAAACTTGAAATCAATTGAGAAAAATGAAGCGAGCGAGCGTACAATATCAGCAAGCAAAACGACATAGTAATTGCATTGTAACTAACGGTATTCATGTCTATATTACTCGTCTATGAGGCTTGTGTTTAACGTTTTGCACTTCATCACACATCGCATATGCGAGCACATTGTATTGCATCGCATTTACATCTTACTTCTTCAGCTTTCACCGTGTGCATACACACTTGCCACTTGCTTGTCATGGATTTTACGCGTTGATTCAAGTTAACATCCAGGAAGCAAGCATGTAAAATCGAGAGAAAAGGAAAGCAAAACACTTGAAAAATTATTATGTGAATATATATATAGATATATAAAAAAGACATCCACTTCGTAGCTGTGAATAAGTATAGAGCGCATTTTTTTTTGCCAACGATGAGTTTCCGTCTTGATGTGTGTATGTGTGAGATTGTATGTTTTTTTGTTGCTCACACGACGAAGTAGAAAAATAGCGATGAAAATCTAAGAGTTTCACGGCGTACTTCTACGAAAAGTGAATGATAAAGAGAGTGCGTGTCGTCAAGTGAGCGGTCGCGTGCGCGCATTCATATCCGTTCAGTATCAGTATCAGTAAATTTCTATGAGTACTAATGATGTGAGAACGTTGGATTTCCTGGCGCACAACTTTATTAACCCTCATTTTATGTTTCGAAACATCGCCTTAATTTTCCAATCATTTCATGTTGTTGCAGCGAATAAAATGAACTTGTGAACAATTCCGTGTAATTTCATACACCCCCAAGATAAGTAACAACGAAACGAATTCGCTGACTGTAATAAAATACCCCCCCAAAAAAAGAAAAACAAAAAGAATTACAAATAGTATCAAGAACAAATAACTGAAGCTGATAAAACAAACATACAAAGTAAATTGAAGTGAAATGAAAATCGACAACGTAGAGTGAATCATCGAATGTTGTTTTATTTTTATTCGTTTCGTTTTAACATAAAATATATATGAATATCGTAAATGTGTAAAATAAATACAAATTATCAAAATATTTTGGTAGAACAAAGCCGAAAAAAAAATTAACAAGAAAAACACACCGAAAAAGGTTGGGGAAGACTGAAAGAAACCGAAAGGGAAAATGAAATAAATCGAAATCTGTAAAAAGTGACAAATTGAGGTCATATTGAACGGTAATAGAAAATCACGATCTCGATTCAATGGTTTTAAATAACGCAACTGGAATACAACAGACACGAAGAGAAGAGAAAGGGAACAAGTGGAAAAAACAGAAGAAAAGCCAACTGATTCGGCTTATTGATCAGATCGAAATTGAATTGCGTATCGCCAGTGGTTGGTAGTGTAAATGTGTGTGACTACTGTGTTACACCAACAACAACAACATAAACGAGCAGCTCCGACGACTACAATACGGGGACCAATCACACCATCATGCATCAATGCTCCACCTAATTCGTAAGTCTTGTTGAAACATTTTTATCGAAAATTAATGAATCCTATTTTGAATAATTGAGCATTTGGGCTCGTTGTCAAACACAATATTCCGTAAAAAGTCATTAGAGATCTGTTTTGGTTTTGATATGTATGTATATTCAGTATGTGTGCTCTCTCTTCCTCTCTCTTCTTCTACGTATGCAGACGTATGCTGTGTTTAAGCTACGATGAACACCAACTGCTTATTGTGCAATGAGACAGAGAATGAAACAGAGACCATATATATATCTATGTATACAAAATGTACGAATTTTTTGTGTGTTTTTCGTAAATTTTCTATTGGATTGCGTCTGGTATTCATTTTGTTTTCATTGAGTTGAACAGTTCAATGTGAGATCAGCACATATGGGAAGTTCATGAATTGAAGTGCAGAATGGTTAAGTAAGTATAGGCATTCGCCACTTGATGAAATTAGTAAAATGTCGATTCAAATACTGTGCCATTGCTGCGTTTCTATGCGTTTGAATAATAAAAGAGATCAATGGAAATATAGGACGGTCCGACTCTATTTAATCAAATAGTGTTTGGGCGAGCACCGAGCGTGCTGACAGATTTCGTTGTTCGTAGAACATCGATAACAGCATTAGCCATCATCATTTTCAATAGAAAGGAGAAAGAAAAAAAAGAGAGAGAGAGAGAGAAAGCGAGGTAGACAGCTATGAAACTGCACAATGAGCATTCATTTGTTCGTATCCGAAACCAAAAGTCCATTGAAAACAAAAGCGAAAATAGTTTGTGTTTTTTTCTCTCGATGAATTCGGGTGTTCATGAATGGATTTGTAGCGACTTTATTTCGTTGTTTGTATCGGAATTAAGGGCGTGTTGTATGAATGATGGCGTAGACCTGTATGATTGAAGATTCTCTACATTACGTTTTTGCAAACTCCTTCATTTTATCTATGATCCTTGGTTTTTTTGTTCGTTTTCTTTTAATACTTCGTCTTTGTGTTGGGACATCATCAATGGGATGAAGCCAAAAGCGTACACGCGTGTGTATTTGCGAATTTTTAGAAAACGCGATTGTCGCACTTTAAGACATCCAACTTTTGTGCCATCAACACACACTCCATTGGCACATAAATTATGCTGTCACAGGACGAGGAATTTAGATAAGATTGAATTGGCAACGAAAGAGCAACAACGATTCCTTTGTACATGTAATGGTTTGGTTTTTGGCCTGTAAAATCTAGAGAGCACCATTTTTTCCCTCTTTCGCTACAATCTCCAAGCTCTGTTGTTGTCTTTGTCTGCATTTTCATTTTGATTTGTTTAATATGAACACGATGTTATGCATTTTCGAGTGTAAACGTGCGTTGTACCGAACCGCACAAGTCATCAGTATGTATATGTATATATTCTTGTAGTTTGTTTGGTTTGGTTCTCTTTTTTTTGCTTCTTTTCGTAACAGCAGTCATGTATAAATTATTTATGGTTTAAATATCAGACATACTCAACGAAACGTGTGTGCGTACTGCCCATACAAAAGAACGAGTCGAAACTGTAATTGTTGAAATGAAAAAGAAAAAGAAGAGAAGAGAAAAAAAAACACAAACACACACACGAATTGGCTGAAGGAGCTCGAACTTTGTATATATTTGTATTTGCGTAAGATACACGACGTTTATTTTGCAGAAAAACAAATACCATATACGCGCGCGTTCAGCATTTTTATTATATTTTTCAAGTGCTTGGCTTTTAGCGCGAGCAATGTGCTCGGCATTGGATGGGGGATATATACCACCAAAAAGGAATGGGAAAAAGATTCACCAATGAATCTAAATTTTGTTCGCATTTATGCTCTTGAATCAACCACTTATTCCATGGGAATCAGGCGGTTCTTATAATACTGAAAGAGAGAAAGCTGAGGCAGACAAAAAATCGAGTGTGTGTTATGTTACGAAAGACAGATGCTTTGTGTTCTTTTTCCATTTCAAACACGCGTTTTTTCACATACAACACAAATGCACCACGATTACGCAGTGACAGTTTTGTTGACGGAGTCTTGGGCCACTCACATGCTCGCAGACACATTCGCACACAAAATATTCATAAAGTTTGTTAACTATTTTGGTTGGTTAAGAGACAAACAGTCATAAACATATTTTTGCGGAAATCTCCAGACGCATTTAACAAAAAATCAAAACAAAAAGTAAACGACAATGTTTCACGTTTCGCTTTCTTTATTTCTCGTTCTATTGGTCTGGTGTCTCGTTTCAGGGTTACTCACCCTCTCTCATACCAAAATTGACGATTATTTGCTCAGCTAAATCGAAATAGATATAAATGCTCATGCATCGAAAGAATATTTAGTGTTATCTCCAACATCGTCCATATCGCGTCAACTTTTTCCACTAGATGTGAAGCATTCGATTTTGTACATTGCCCTCCTTCTTTCTCATTAGCTATATCGTGCTTTTAGTTGTTTCCATTTTCTGCGACGTTTATCAGTTGGCATTGGCCACCGTGGTAGCTCGTCGTTGCGATAAGGATGGAATAAAAATCATTAAAAGGCAAGACAACTGCACAAAAAAGGTTGATTTAAGCAATGAATAAATGGATTGGCAAAAACAAAAACAAAAGACGTAAAATGCGTTTTGAGAAAATCGATTTGATCTCTCATTTTCCCTTTCGCGCACATACAATCACTATGTATTTTCCATTGTTTTCTTTTTTGTTTGAAATGAAAACACACCAACTTGATTAATTAGTAAGATTAAAGACAAGTAAATCTCTGCTTCGGTGGCCGGTCATGTGTGTGCGTTTAGTGTGAATTTAGTGCTCAAATCAAGGTATATGCTATAAATGGTGCGATTGGAACGAATGAACGTGTGCGTATGAAACCAACCCATTTACCGTATTATACCACACGCGTGAGATAGCAAATTGAGTTAAAATATTCCAACACGCTGTGTGTATTCATATCTGTTTCGATACAATGTAAACTGATTGCTTGTAGCAAACTATTTCTATTCAAGTGAGATAAGTTCAATTTAACGTTTCGTGCAAATATTTTCCGGTCGTTGTAACCTTGTATGTTGATAGAACATTCTTGTACATTTCGTTAAAAATCTCGGTATATAGTTTTCTGTTTTGTGTAATTCGTTGTTGTTGATGGTGATGGTGATGTTGTTACTATTTCGATTCATTATGTGTGCACGTTTGAAAAATAAAATGTTCACATTAGAAAAATGAAAATGAAAATGTGGTTAAGTCACATTATTCTGATGGCAAAATAGTGAAATGGAATGAGTAAATGAGAAAGAGAGACGGTGCGATGATCATTAAAGGATAAATGCAATTGAAACAGAGAGAATAACAGTGGTGAGTATAGTGACACACCATCTGTTAGATGTGTATTATTTAAATAAATTTTCGAGAAAAATGGCAAGCAGATGCGATGCGGTTAAAGCCATTCTTCTCTATGTGCACTCCGGCTATATTCAAATGCCTTGCAGTGGTGTATTTGATCTCAACGTTATAGCTTCCATTGTATTCCAGTGGCTGGTCCAGAAAAGCAACAAACACACTACACACGCACATATTACCAAAAAAAAAACCATAACTAAAAACTTTCATTTTAACAGTGGTGCACACAGCACTTTTCGACGGCCGTACCCAAAAGGATGCAACATTAACGTGGTGTAACATCTTTTGATCTGATTCGTTGTCTCAGGCATGAAACCGAACTGGTTTTGCAGCACCAAAATGCGTTCGTTAATCCAAAATAAAAGCGAAAAATTTCAATACATGCCATATGCATCCTTACATTCTTCTATGTTTAAAAAGCCAAACGCTGACCATCCGATTTTATTGCAATAATATTGTGCACACCATTTTTTATGCTTAAAATTCATTTTGATTTCATTAAAAATCTCATTTCTTAACGCCGCTCTCATCTCTATATCCGAAAAAACTTACCCACACCCAGGGACACATTACATTTGGATTTCATTTTTAAAGTGCATTTTCAGCAAAGGAGCGGAATAAAATGGGCCGCAACACATTCATTCCAAATAATAATAACAATTATATTGTATTTGTCGCAAATCGTTTTTGGCAACAAAAGTCAAAATATTAATATCTAAAAACCTCAGAAAAGCGGGCAAAAATTATGCAGAAAGTAGATCTCTCTCTCTCTCTCTCTCTCTCTCTCTCTCTCTCTTTATGTTTCTTTCATTTCCAAAATAGTCGTTCCCGTTCTGTCGTTTGTTCATTCAGTCCAAATTTTATTTGACGTATTTTTTTGTGTGTGTGTGTGACTTCTGCCTGGTGCTGCCATTGTCGCATGTTAGCTGCATCGTCTTTTTTTTGCTGCGTATTGCTGCTTCTCGTCGTCGTCATCGTGCGCCGACTTTTTAGGTGTTCTCGCTGTCATTGCTTGATATTCTGTTAATGTTTAAATTGCACGATCGCTCTATGCCAAGGGGGGAGACACGTGGAATAGGATTAGACTTTTTAGTGTAAAAATTCGAGAAATTAAAGTGGAATAGAGAATTCAGTAGCTGGATTCACATGGATTCACTAATCCCGTGTATGGAATAGCGAAAATGGGTTAATTCAAAGTTTTTGTAATCGATAGTACAGAATTTGATAAAAGCATTGAACTTGTTTTGAGATAGTAATTTGTTCTTTTTTGAAATATTTTTTAGTTCAAAAGTCGATTACAAATTTAAAAAACAATAGATACTCTTTCTCAAAATTTTATTGATGAAAAAAATAATTTTAATTATCAATAACAAAATGTCATACTCCAGTATCGATAAATAAGTTTTCAACAAAGTGAATAGCGGCGAAATGTGACATCACATTTGACAATGAAATGACGGATTGGTGGAATAGTAGGATTAGTGTTTTTATATTGGAATCATGGTTTAATCGTTTGTGTCTCCCCCTAGCTCTATGCATGTTGCAAATGGCAATGCGATGGCAATAGATTTTTAAAGCTAACATACATGCACACC